TAAGTAAATAAATAAATAAATACATGTCAACTACAAATACTCATTAATGGTTGGAATGTAACAAGATACACTAGATTGAAAATTAACTTTGATATAGCTATGACTCGATAAACATTTGACTAGATAAGATTCTGAAATTTCCCTTCATCAACCCCCTCCCGCTCCAACTACATGAAAAATATAAATGATATGGCAGATCTCTGATCAGGTGAGTAAAACCGTGTAAGGCGTCATCGTGTCTCTTCATTCATTTGAATTATCGTGGGTGTTGGATGAAGGTCTAGAATACGGGGCGGATGAAGGCGTGCCGACTCGTGGCGGTACCGTTCTATCAGCTCCTCCATGCCCGGCTGCCGCCCGCACTGCCAGCATGGCCGTGGTCGTGTCTTGTCGGCCTGGCCCATCCCCGCCCGGGCCCGGCCGAGTGACCCTCTCCTGCCGCCGTCTCTCTCTCCTCGTCGCCCTGACTCCCCCACAAGCCCCACGGGCCCCAAAGCCTCCAGGGTCGGGCCGAGGGCCGAGCCAAGGGTTGGGCACTCAGTGAGCTGCGTCGGGAGCGCGCGGAGCGGTCCGCCTGCGCCACCACGTTGGACCATCCGTGCAGGAAGTCACGGTACTTGATTAGGACGCCCCAGTCGCGTATCTCGCGGTTTGTGTCGTCGGTGATGTTGCGCTCTGAGGGTGACATGATCTTCCTCGGCACGGCCAGCGGCAGCGGGATGGTCAACGACAGCAGCGCCCACTCCACCTCGCACAGTAGCTGCAACGCTCAAGCAGGAGGGTGCCCAGTGAGATTCGTTGATGTCGATTTGACGTCGGAGTCGGAAGTCGAAATTACGTCGATTTTTTTGGCCATAAACATCTAAATCGACGTCTAATTGGGGTCTACGTAGAGGGCTTCTCGGGTGTAAAGCAAGCCACCGAGGAGATCATCCAGAAAGTATACGCCCATTCTCCGCCGTTTCGAAACTGCCAAGTTCGGCCGATGGCAAGCTGTCATAGCGCCTGATAGACAGGCAACATCTTGCCTGCAATGCATGCGTGCAGAGCGGGCTGGCCTACCCTACATCCCCCAGGCGCCGAGTTCCCGTATCTGCTGAATGCCCCTGAGAAAAACGGGCGTACCTTTTGGACGATCCCTATACTGACGATCAGCACAACAGCACGTCAGCATAATCACCTTCACTTGACAAAGCCATGAGAGGGCGAGGTGTTCACAATACTCACCAACTTGACGTGTTTCTTAGTCTCGGACAACGCGTTATGCCGCATTGGGTTGTCCAGTCGATTGTCCTCGGACATCTGTTCGAGCGCGACGGAGAACTTCTGGAGCTGCGTATGCATGCGCGCTAGTTCGTTCGCCAGCTGGAGAAACCGCGAAATAGACACGTTAGTGAGTTATTTGTACATTCCGTGGAAACATCTCTACAAAGAGCACAGCGTAAACAGACTCCTGTTAAAACCAAGAAGATATCCAACTACCGATGAACGATTTTCAAAATACAATACACGATGTATGCTTTGGGAAGCAGTTTAGCGTTAGGCTACAATAATCGCGATTTGCGTTTTGAAAAGCGAACCTCGGTGACGCGGTATCCTACATGAATCCAACCAATCGAGCTCACCTTGTGTGGCTCCAACTTTTCTCCACCGAGTTCTGGTAGGTCATCCTTGGAAGGTACCCAACTCGGGATATAGTCATTCTCGTTCACACCAATAATAACCTGGAGAGGAGAGAGAGAGAAAGAGCTATTGGTTTCAGAGCTGGCAAAGAGCGACTAGAGCGGCAGACCGCGGAGAGTTGTTGCTCGCGGAACGCCTGGGGGCTAGGCAACCCAACGTGCAGGACTGCACCGGGCGGAGAGCTGTGGCCTACCCCGCAGACCGCAGGCGCTAGCAGTTCGCGCGTCTATCTGACCAACTCCCCCCGGTACACACTCTCATTTTTTTATAGAATCTCTTAGGGAGAATTTTGTGCACACGTATTATGGATCACAACTCATCCATAATATGGATAAAATCGTCCGTATTACAAAACAATTGGATCCATATTACAGACATGCCTTCATCCGTAAGGTATAGACCTTTCGTCCATACCTTGGGCATGTCTGTAATGTGGATAGAATTGTCTGTAATACGGACAATTTTATCCGAATTATGGATGATTTGTGATCCATAATACGTTTGCATACAATTCACCATAACATACAGAGCACATCCATAAGGAAATGAGAATGCAGCTAGAACTAAATGACCCGTCTCTAAAATCATAGCACTAACCGTAACATTTATTCATCTATGTCACCCGTATCAATGCCTGTACTGGCAACCGACAGGCAACAGCACACCAACTATAATCCCAATGTAAACGTATTCCAAAGGATGAAAATAATGTACTATACTGCCAAACTATGCCGATAATGAACGCATTAAAAATGCGCTGAGAGTTGCGCAATCGCGGGTTTTTAATTTTGTATGGTAGCTCACTAGTCAACAGTTGCGAGTCCTATGTCGTCGCATTTACGCTTTACATTGAAGCTTACCTGGTAGTAGAGCTTGTCAAATCGCTGCAGCTTGTAGTGAAGCACGGTCATGTTGAGCTGCCGCCACACCCGCGCCAGGGCTCTGTTGATCTTTCTGGCGACGGACTTGGCCGAGCGACCACTGGTGGCCTTGGGGCTGGCGATGACCAGGTCGACGCTGCGGCCGCACGGGTGGTGCCAGAAGGGGCGGGCCTCGGCCTCAGCATCCTCCTGGAAGGAGTGGCCGTAGGTGTTGGCGGCCGCGGCCGCGGCCATCTCGTCCTCATCGTAGTCCTCGTCCAGCGCATAGTCCTCGTTGTCATCGTCGTAGTTTTTCTTCACCCTAGCATTTGTCGCAGCCCCGTTTCGTCGCGCATCAGCGCCGTGGTCGTCGTCGTCGTCGACGACGTCGTCGTCTTCCTCCACGTCTCCGTGGTCGTCCCTGCGTTCGTTCCTGTGCCTATTCCTGCGTTCGTCCCTGTCAACATGGTAGGCGTTGTTCTGAAGGTCGTCTTCGGAGTCGCCCTTGACGTCCCCCTGGGCGTCGTCGGCGGAGCCATCGTTCTTCGCCAGGTCACCCGCACCGTCCGGTGCGTGCCGGCCCCGGTCCAGCAGGCCCTCTTGCCTCTCGGCCAGGATGTGCTCCGCACTTCGATAGCGCACGGGGATCTGAAACACGAGGGGTCAGGCATATACAGGCGTTCTTGTTGTACTAATTGTTCGTGGGGATTGAACGCAATGGCTTCAGCTTCACAAGGGCAAATTCACCCCCCTCCGCTGCCCCTCCCCTCTCATTCACCACCTCCCCTCCTCTTCCAGCGCACGCACCTCGCGCCTGGTTGCAAATGAAAGAAGCGATAGGAAAAGACGCATGTAATCGCGGCGGATGTTTGGTGAAGCGGTGACGCGCTTGAATCTGACGTCACTCGTCGCGTCGCTGAAAGTGGGCGCGACCGACGGGACGGTCGAGTCCTGTCCTGATCCCGTTGGGGGCCCAAACCCTCACCGATACTGCAAAAACACGTAAGTGGCAGGCCCTTCTTGGTGCTATCCTGACACTACTCTATATTTTGGGAGCGGACAACGCGCGTAATTTCTTTTAACCCGTCTTTTTTTTTTTCTTTTTCTTCAGAAGATAGTTTCTCCCCCTTCTGCCGCCGCTGTTCATCCCATTTATCTTATTTCTGAATATAGGAGGCTCAGGGCGGCCCTTTCGCTATTTCCGCACAATGAAATGGAGTGGGCTGGGCGGGGGAGGGAGGGGCGGCGCCGGCGGGGCAGGCCGGGCAGACCGGGCAGGCACTCACGTTGGCGAGGTCCAGGTCGGAGACGATCCTGAGTGGAGTGTCTTGCTGCTGCTGCTGCTGCTGCTGCTGCTGCTGCTGCTGTTGCTGCTGCTCTCTGTTCCGACGGCCGAGGGCACCAGCGCGTTGGCCCCGGGGCGGAATGGACCTCGAGCTGGACAGGGGCGTCCCCAGGAGGTAAAGGCTCTGGAGGTCGGACTGGAAGGCGGCGCCCACGGTCACGCACGACAGCAGACCCAGAGCCACAAGTTGCGCCGACCGCGCTAGGGAGAGAGAGAAAGACGCGGCAACTGTGAGAACACGTTAGGAAACATCTCTGATTCTTCCTACTGCTACGGGGGGTGCTAACAGTAGAGTGGGTGAAGGTCGGAAGTCACGATAGCAGCCTCAGGTGTGTGTGTGTGTGGGGGGGGGGGGGTGTCACCAAAACCCCTACATCCCCGCGCGCCGCAACACATGTCGCAACGTCCCCGCGTACTTGTAATTGGGGGCGACGAGATAACACTCGCATTACTGTTATTGGCGATACCTGCAATCTCGACCGAGCTTAGGGCTGAGCGCTGAGCCGAAACAATTGTCGCGTTGCGGCACACGGTGATGATATATCCCCCCCCCCCCCTATGCAATCAAATCCCGCAACCGGAAAGACCAAAGGTACATAGAGGATCCGCGTGTTTTTGTTTTCTGAAGTGTCCGTAAGACCAGTAGCGGTTTTCGGGGGAACACTGCTCACCCTCCACCCCACCCCATTTCTCCCAAGGTATCCGATAAGACGCGTGAAAGTGCAGGTAGATGAGCAGGCGAGGACTGTGCGTTCTGTACTTTTATGAGAGTGCGTGACCCAGAGCACACAGCGTCAACGCGGTGCCCTGCAGGGCTGGGGACTACGTAATGAGGGAAGACAGCCCGCGACATGCTCATTTCATAATCGGCATTGTAACTAGCCTCTCTCCTTGTGGCTTTGTGTCGATGGAACAGGGCCAAGCAGGGCGTCGTTACGCGGTTACGCGATGTTGTACTGCGAGGAGCAGACAGGGGAGCGAAAAAAAAATATAAGGGGGTGGGGTGCGGCGGTTACACTGATCAATTACATGGACCTTCGTCACCGAGAAGAAGGGACAAGAGAGCGGTTGTTACAACGACCAAGCACATATGGGCCCTCGTGCCCTCGTCCGTACCAGAGACGTCTGTTCCGGTCTGTTCGAACAGACAGGAGAGCGGTTTACGGCGACCAGCACAGACGGACCTCCGTCTCTGGGAGGGGCAGTCAAAGGAGCAGCGGCCACCAATGAGCGCATCTGCATCGGGTTTTGTACCGATTCCTCTCCCTCGCAACGTTTACTCTGCAAACAAATGGGCTGTCCAGCGCCGTCGAATTACAGACAGAGAGCATGCATTCGTGTCGGCGTGTTATACTGTACCGGGTTCTTCTACCTATATATCATGTCCACCCGCCGTTATAACGTTATCTCAAAAAGCTTTAACTTGTCTTGTATTCTACCAACCTTTCTTTTAATCAGAGATTGAAACAGAATGTTTCTGATCTCTGTCCTGTACTACCCCTAAATTACTTTGGCCTAGCAGCCGACAGGACGATACATAGGAGGGAGATTACGGAGCTCCCCGGAAGCGCCTTCTATAACCAGTCTCCAGAGGGTGAGGGAGGGGTGGTGGTGGAAGAACGTTTCCCGGTAGCTCCATAATACCCCTCCAGTTTTTGGCAGGAGCCAATAGCGTCCCCTAGTAGCACAGAATTCTCGTACTATCTTTATCAGCCAGCTATCGTAATGGAAGCGAAAAACCACTATTGTGGATTCGACCAGGGATCGAGACAGATACAACGGAATGGTAGATAGTTTAAATTTGATAGACCTTCGACGATCGTCTGACGGTGCAAAAGCCATCACTTTTAGATTTTCGTTATCGTCACAATAATTGGCTGATTTAAAAAAATTACACTGTGCGCGACAGTTTTGTGTTACCAGATACTGTTCCGCATGCACGCATGCGGGCGTGTTGCCTACTCGCACGGGGCCAGAAGGAGCCGTGAGCAGCGAGGATAGGCCTAGGAAAAACCGCCCGACGTAAATAAGTCAGCCACCTGGTATCGTGGATTAGTACTTGGATTTCAAGTACTAAATTTTCACATTTTCAGAGGAAATGACTTTGAAGTAATTGGAGGGCATGGCGTTGATTTGAGACTTATGAGTACATCCCAACCCAAAGATGACACCAGTGCTATTAAGGTAGAAGTAGTAATCTATCAAAAGTTATCTTTTAAATTCTCATACTAAAATTGAGTGGCATTACTAACAGTTTCCTTTTCTATCCTAGTTCAGGATCCCATGCTCTATTGAAAAGATTCGTAAAAACCGGTAAAAAACAGTGTTCACTCAATAGTTCCATTGTCTAAACATGCAGTCATCGTCAAAAGATACTCGCATTCTCTAAACCCTGAGACAGCTTGCTCCAGAAGTACCAAATTCTTTGAGTAATTTAATCGGCCATGCCATTATGATTTATGAAAACAATTGGAGCCTTTCAAAAGTAAGTTGTGTTGAAGAAACCATAGTGCATGTGCGGAGACGTTATCGTGCTTGTTCAAAAAGGGGATTAAGGTTCATTTAGAATGATTCAGTTGTTACTCTTGCTTTAGAAAATTTCACCTTGCCGTCTGAGTGAAGAACAAAAGCAAGTTTTTGCTTCTAAAATACAAACAGGTAAATGGATATTTGCCCCTATTTTTGAAAAGTTAGTCATATATGTTTAGATTATACTAATAAGTGCATCCTGTATTCCTGACAGCTCTACTAGTTCTCCGGCTCTGGGTGCCAACCCAAGAAAAAGGCGCCGTCCAATCAATAAACCTTTATTAACTAATGTAAGTTAAAATATGATTGTATTGGAATGAGTAATTGCAGTAGCATTATCAAATCCTTCCAAATAATTTTACAGTTTTCTTTCCCCGACTTCATTTCTTTTTTGGCTTTGGAAACTTCCACACATTTCCAAAGAATTAAATTTAAAAACAAAAATGATGATTTGCATAGTATTTGTCTTGTAGTTACTTCTAGTTGTCATTTTTTTGTTAAACTCCTCAACGAACAAAAGGTGGTGCCAGAAAGGTCAGCCTGTGAGGCACACCGTGAATATACACACATGCAAGGCACGTTGCCTGCCCTACGGTTCGCAGGCGTCCACTTCTCACGAGTCTCAAGCAAGAGGGGCTTAAAAGTGATGAAAGGAAGTCAGAGCTTGTTTCAAAACCCATCAATGTAAAACCAGAGGAGGTAGTGTCACGAAATCGATGAGGTGATAAATTTTCGCTCAAATTGGTCTTTCGGTGAGAGGTCACTCACCCATGTGGCGTCCCGTCTCGTCGCGTCCCCGCGTAGTCCCTGGGCGGCCTGGGTGAACTATACCGGACCGGTCACTAGGTTGAGTCTCGCGGGCCGGGCGGGGGCCCCTCCGGCTCAGGCGTACGTCTCGCACTGGCCGTCACCTGGTCCCGGACCCGCTTATGAGCTCCTCTCAGTGTTTACCCACGAATGTGCGGGGCCGCGGGGCGGCGGGG